GTTCGTGTCGTTTTGAAGGTGAGATCTCCATGCTTGGAGACGGTAGAGCAGATGTGGGCACACTGCAGGCACTTGTACCTCTTTATTGTCAACCTTTACTGTCTCCAACTAGTTTAATATACCAGAATGACTTCCTCGCCTGCACGAAAATAATAATATAAATGATCAGTCATAATAAATCAAAGTAGTCCCCCCCCCTCCATCCCTCCCTCGGCCAAAGAAAACGAGAATATCAGGGCAAACTTCACTCCAATAGCGAGACACTTCGAAATTCGGAGAAAATATTCAGAAACTCGAGTCGGATATCCCTCGCCGGCTTCATATTGGCGTGCTCAGCAAACAACATGACTCTGCATTGGAGCGTCTCACTGGCTCAGTCATGCAGGCTCGTCTCAGCGTAGCATGAGCTGCGACTCGCAGGAGCACCGCTCCTGTGCCAGGTAAGTCCACTATGGGCTCACCATAGCCCGTGCTACTTGCCCCGCTCCTGTGCCAGGTAAGTCCACTATGGGCTCACCATAGCCCGTGCTACTTGCCCCGCTCCTGTGCCAGGTAAGTCCACTATGGGCTCACCATAGCCCGTGCTACTTGCCCCGCTCCTGTGCCAGGTAAGTCCACTATGGGCTCACCATAGCCCGTGCTACTTGCCCCGCTCCTGTGCCAGGTAAGTCCACTACGAGCTCACCATAGCCCGTGCTACTTGCCCCGCTCCTGTGCCAGGTAAGTCCACTACGGGCTCAACATAGCCCGTGCTACTTGCCCCGCTCTTGTGCCAGGTAAGTCCACTACGGGCTCACCATAGCCCGTGCTACTTGGAACTTGTTCCTAGTAGCTGAATCTATAACAACAATCCGACTCGCTGGAGACATGTTGTGGAGGCCACGACCCTCCTAGTCCTAGCACGGAGACACAGTCCTCCCCCTAACACCTAATTCGGATTTTTTTTCGATTTTGCTGATGGTTCAAGGTGGTATGTTTTGGGTGCAGCTTCAAGCTTTTAAACACTACCTTAAAGAGCTTCAATCATAAACTTGTCCACATAATTCGTTTTCTTGATCCGGAACCTGAATATTATATATATTTATATTTATAAAGGAAACGTGCCCAACCACTTCTGTCTTTCTGTCCCGCCGGGAATTCGAACCCGGGATCCCAGACTGTGGGTCAAGAGCGAAGCTACGAGCCAAACCCCCCCCAAAAAAAATCCCAAAACGTAACTTGTAGCATGGTGGTCTACGTCCTCGACTGGCAATCGAGGGCCCCAAGTTCATCAGTCCTCCGCGCGGGCCAGAAACCGAGGGATACGTTACCTTTCACCTAATGCACCTATTCACCTACCAGTAAAATAAGTCCCTGGGGGTTTGGACAAGTGTTGAAGGGGTTACATCCTCAGGAACGTGGGGAGGTTAGCCTTCCGGAGGATAAGCATAATTACAGGCTTCCTGTCCCCGACAGGACAAAAGGACACAGTCATTTAGTACCAATAGTACCAGTGAGGGTGCTGGAGACCCACACGGCTTACGGAACAACCCCCCCCCCATCCATCCATCTGCTTCATATCGGGCTCTAATCCTATTACAGAGGATCCAACGCCTCTCCTGCCTGGAGACGAGACCTCCAACTCTATCCAAGAACAACTTTGGCGACTTAATGTGTATGTGTGTGTGTGTGTGTGTGTGTGTGTGTGTGTGTGTGTGTGTGTGTGTGTGTGTGTGTGTGTGTGTGTGTGTGTGTGTGTGTGTGTGTGTGTAATTACCTAAGTTTAATTACCTAAGTATAGTTACAGGATGAGAGCTACGCTTGTGGTGTCCCGTCTTCCCAGCACTCTTTGTCATATAATGCTTTGAGACTGATGTGTGTGTGTGTGTGTGTGTGTGTGTGTGTGTGTGTGTGTGTGTGTGTGTGTGTGTGTGTGTGTGTGTGTGTGTGTGTGTGTGTGTGCTGAAAAGGGATTACATACGAGGTTACCAGACGGGAACTAGTGAGAGAGATGAAAAGGAGACGATGAGAAGGGGAAGGAACAGTCTGAGAGTTACCTGGGACTGACTGTGATGTACTCTGAAGCCTATCGCCAAATGCTCACATATAAGCGTTCCATTTCTGGTATTTCTACCGTTACCCTTACTACTCTAATCCAGCCATTATCACCGGCACCTGTCCTCTCTCTCTCTCTCCCACAGTCCCCTCCCATGGTCCTCTCCCTTCCATGTTTTTTTTTTTGCTCTTCAATGCCACTTTTTTAAGTGAAATATTTCAAAAGTTGGACTTGCCTGTTTGCCTACGTCCCCTCGTGTGTGTAGCCTTTCCCCCTCCTTCCTATATTCCTGTCTTCCTGTCTTCCTCCTATTAGCCTCCTCCGTCAGTGTAGGTATATATTTACGGGCTATTCATGCCCGTGCCGCCTCCTGGTTGGCTTAATCAGCGTAGGTATGGACCTAGCCTGACCTTCCAGTATACACGTGACCTAGTCTGACCTTTCAGCAAGCACCCACGCTCCACAATTTTAATATGGACAATTAGGGCCATTCAAGGGGGGTAATTAACGCAGGCAGTTTAGTTCCTAAACATGGGGCCAATTTACCAGTGAACACTAAATAGTTCTGTAGTTAGCTTGCTGTTATTCTACATATTTCCTTATTAGATGGGCTACCCGGCGGTGCCCGAGTCTCTTCCTTTACTTTAATACACTTTATGTAGGGCATACGTAAATATGTGTATGTATGTATTTACGTATGTAGGTTAGCTTAGCATTTTAAAAGCACCGAATCACCTTCTGTGGTTGAGTGTTCAATAAACCCTTGAACTATATATTTAACACTTCTCTAACCCTGTCCATGGAGGACAGAAGAAAATGTATATATGCTGGTTAGCATTGTAACTGTGTGGCCACGTCTGTGGTAGAAAATAATAAAAAAAACTTTCTTCGCCTGCCCACATGTGCCCTGCCCTTACCTCTCGTTCACTCCTGCCCCCACACACTCTCGTTCACTCCTGCCCCCACACACTCTCGTTCACTCCTGCCCCCACACACTCTCGTTCACTCCTGCCCCCACACACTCTCGTTCACTCCTGCCCCCACACACTCTCGTTCCCTCCTGCCCCCACACACTCTCGTTCACTCCTGCCCCCACACACTCTCGTTCACTCCTGCCCCCACACACTCTCGTTCATTCCTGCCCCCACACACTCTCGTTCCCTCCTGCCCCCACACACTCTCGTTCCCTCCTGCCCCCACACACTCTCGTTCACTCCTGCCCCCACACACTCTCGTTCACTCCTGCCCCCACACACTCTCGTTCACTCCTGCCCCCACACACTCTCGTTCCCTCCTGCCCCCACACACTCTCGTTCACTCCTGCCCCCACACACTCTCGTTCACTCCTGCCCCCACACACTCTCGTTCACTCCTGCCCCCACACACTCTCGTTCACTCCTGCCCCCACACACTCTCGTTCACTCCTGCCCCCACACACTCTCGTTCACTCCTGCCCCCACACACTCTCGTTCACTCCTGCCCCCACACACTCTCGTTCACTCCTGCCCCCACACACTCTCGTTCACTCCTGCCCCCACACACTCTCGTTCACTCCTGCCCCCACACACTCTCGTTCACTCCTGCCCCCACACACTCTCGTTCACTCCTGCCCCCACACACTCTCGTTCACTCCTGCCCCCACACACTCTCGTTCACTCCTGCCCCCACACACTCTCGTTCACTCCTGCCCCCACACACTCTCGTTCACTCCTGCCCCCACACACACTCGTTCACTCCTGCCCCCACACACTCTCGTTCACTCCTGCCCCCACACACTCTCGTTCACTCCTGCCCCCACACACTCTCGTTCACTCCTGCCCCCACACACTCTCGTTCACTCCTGCCCCCACACACTCTCGTTCACTCCTGCCCCCACACACTCTCGTTCACTCCTGCCCCCACACACTCTCGTTCACTCCTGCCCCCACACACTCTCGTTCACTCCTGCCCCCACACACTCTCGTTCACTCCTGCCCCCACACACTCTCGTTCACTCCTGCCCCCACACACTCTCGTTCACTCCTGCCCCCACACACTCTCGTTCACTCCTGCCCCCACACACTCTCGTTCACTCCTGCCCCCACACACTCTCGTTCACTCCTGCCCCCACACACTCTCGTTCACTCCTGCCCCCACACACTCTCGTTCACTCCTGCCCCCACACACTCTCGTTCACTCCTGCCCCCACACACTCTCGTTCACTCCTGCCCCCACACACTCTCGTTCACTCCTGCCCCCACACACTCTCGTTCACTCCTGCCCCCACACACTCTCGTTCACTATCAATGTAATCTAACGTTTGTAGCCAGAACGTAAATCTGTCATCTGAACATATGTTTGGAAAATCAATATATTAATTCCCCACCACTTAAACTAATGCTATAGTCTATGGACTATGGAAATGTACTGAACATTTTACATCCTCAGACTTCATGAAGGAAGGGGCGTTGGAATTTCCCCTCCCAGGTCACCCTCTTCTCTCCCTCACTCCCCCTTCTCTCTCCCCTCTCCCACCTCTCTACACTCGTCTCTCCTCTACTTCACAGTCTTCAAACATATTATATACAACCCTTGTATTTCCTTCCGTCTCAGCCAAAACAACCCGAGTGTAACATGTCTCAGGTCCCTGTCTCAACCTGTCATTATACAGTAGAGAATGTTCCTCCGTGTCGTCACGTGACCCCTCGTCTACACTTCCCCTCGGCTCTTTCATCCAATTACGGTCCAGTCTCTGCCCTATTTCCTTACTATATGACCCTAATCCATCTCCCTCGCTCACTATTACAGAGAACGGGTTAACTCTTCTCTTGTCATCACTACACGTCTTCCTCCGTCATTACTGCATTATCACCTGACCCTTCCTCCAGCACCAGTACCTGACCCCCTCCAGCACCACGACCAGACCCCTCCAACACCACGACCAGACCCCTCCAGCACCACGACCAAGATCCAGATTGCTACTCACCTTGGCACTCCTCTGCTTAAGTAGACCTTTGAGGACTGAGAGCGGCTGGTCGCACTTATCCTCCAGGTGGTCGATGGTGAGGGTGAGATCCTTGGGCAGGTGTTCCCTCGGGTAGGTGAAGTGGAAGGTCACCTTCTCCCCCAGGAAGGGGAAGCAGGCCACCAGGTAGGTGAGGTAGGCGCGGGCGATGGCGTACTCCACATCCGGAGTGAACACCGCCACCGACATGGGCGCCCGCCAATACCTCGCCACCTGCAGGGAGCCACGACGCACATGTTATCGCAAGTGTTGGTCATGCTCAGGTGTTGGGAAGGACGAGGAGGAAGTGGGAAAACTATGTTGACCAAGCGATGAGTTACAACAACGTGGCTGAATGCAGGGGGATAAGTCACAATAACGTGGCTAAAGTATGTTGACCAGACCACACACTAGAAGGTGAAGGGACGACGACGTTTCGGTCCGTCCTGGACCATTCTCAAGTCGATTTCCAGAACGGACCGAAACGTCGTCGTCGTCCCTTCACCTTCTAGTGTGTGATCTGGTCAACGTGGCTGAAGTATGTTGACCAATCCACACACTAGCAAATGAAGCGACGACGACGTTTTGGTCCGTCCTGGACCATTCTCGACAATCGACTTGAGACTGGTCCAGGACGGACCGAAACGTCGTCGTCGCTTCACTTTCTAGTGTGTACTTTGATCAACACATTCCAGCCACGTTATCGCGACTCCTCGTCTGCACAAGGAAAAACTATCATTGCAATACGGGTCTGAAAATTGTTGGTGGAACCCGGACAGAACGCCGGTAGAAAATGGAAAAATATTACTGGAACCTGGAAGGAGAAAAAAAAAGATTATTTTAGGTTTTAACCTGGAATAAAATTGGAGGAACAGGTTGAGAATATTGTCTTGAATCTGAGAAGAACATTACTGGAAGGTGTCATAGAATTACTTTATTTCACCTTTTGGAGGGAAGCCCAACTTGTGTTAACACTTTAAACACCCGTGTTACCCCTTTAAACACCCGTGTTACACCTTTAAACACCCGTGTTACCCCTTTAAACACCAGTGTTACACCTTTAAACACCCGTGTTACCCCTTTAAACACCCGTGTTACCCCTTTAAACACCCGTGTTACACCTTTAAACACCAGTGTTACCCCTTTAAACACCAGTGTTACACCTTTAAACACCAGTGTTACCCCTTTAAACACCCGTGTTACCACTTTAAACTCCCGTGTTACCCCTTTAAACACCAGTGTTACCCCTTTAAACACCCGTGTTACACCTTTAAACACCAGTGTTACCCCTTTAAAAACCCGTGTTACCCGTTTAAACACCCGTGTTACACCTTTAAACACCCGTGTTATCCCTTTAAACACTCGTGTTACACCTTTAAACACCCGTGTTACCCCTTTAAACACCCGTGTTATCCCTTTAAACACCCGTGTTACCCCCTTTAAACACCCGTATTACTCCTTTAAACACCCGTGTTAACCCTTTAAACACTTGTGTTACCGTCCAGTCTCACCACCGGGCTGTGGTGGGTATGTGGGCCTGCGGGCCGCTCCAAGCAACAGCCTGGTGGACCAAACTCTCACAAGTCAAGCCTGGCCTCGGGCCGGGCTTGAGGAGTAGAAGAACTCCCAGAACCCCATCAACCAGGTATCAACCACGTACCTGTAAAATTTCTGTAAAGGTGTGATGGGGCTGCGTCAAGTGAGGTGGGACTGAGTTAAAGTAACTTGGGGTCTCCTAACAGGTAACTGGCCATATGACAGGTAAATGTAATTACTTAATGAGTAATTCTCTTGCACTCGTCCACCTGTCGCATCATATCCGGGTCCCGTTAGCTCTGCTCCTTTACTAACTTGGGGTTATGGGTAGAGGACGTGGTGACGGCCATGATGAGAGGGAGGGAGACATGATTACCACATGCGAAATTGATGAACAGTTGTGAGGCGGGACCAAAGAGCCAGAACTCAACCCCCCTGCCAGCACAATGAGGTGAGTATGCACCCCTGTACGACAGCCCGCCCCCTTGCCCCTCTATCTAGACAAAATGGACAACAGAATCCATATTATATATTCTTGTGAGTATATCAGTATCTTTTATCTCGTGATCACTGCCTCTCTTAACGTTAGCTGTCTACATATGTTAAGGTGAGAGGACCCTTTGTGACAATGTAAGGTGTTTGTTGTTAAAGATTCGCTACCTAGAACAAAACGTCTCAAGTAGCACGGGCTATGGTGAGCCCGAAGATGATGACCCACAATGTAAGAGGAAGGAAGGATGTCGGCGCAAAAATAAGACAGAAACACGGAATAGAAGAAGCGATAATAATAAAAAAAAAAGGCGAAGCAGTCAAAGGCAAGGAGAAACAAGGGGGAACACATAGAGGTCATCAACAGTCTAATTAATTCACAAATTCGAGAGGGGTCGATCGGCAATTAGTGAAAACCGCTGCCCTGATCAAGGGGTTAACTGCGCCTCACATTCTAACGAGATCAAGTTCGTCACTGGTCCTTCCTCCAGAGTAATTAGCACGCTAATGACCTTGTTATTTTACGCTTCATCCCGTTATACAAGATTTATTGAACGACGGGGAATTGTGGAATCAAAGAGAGAGAGATGAGAGAGAGAGAGAGAGAGAGAGAGAGAGAGAGAGAGAGAGAGAGAGAGAGAGAGAGAGAGAGAGAGAGAGAGAGAGAGAGAGAGAGCGTCGCCTCTCACAGTGACGTATCGTACCGTTCCACATGAGGATGAGTCTGTCTCTTGACGTCTCCTACTCTGAGGCACTTGTCCATGCTCTCTTGCACTCTCATACGGCTTTCCTCGCCCCCTCTTATACTCTCTCTCTCTCTCTCTCTCTCTCTCCCTCTCTCTCTCTCTCTCTCTCTCTCTCTCTCTCTCTCTCTCTCTCTCTCTCTCTCTCCCTCCCTCTCTCTCCTACACTTGATAAAGTGTTCAAATCCCTACCCTAAACCCATCAGTAATCTACCAAACGTCTCAATACTCGCGCCCCATTAATCTCTCTCACCGCCTGCCCTCCATCTCTTCTGAGTCTCTCTCCTCTCTTTAGTATCTTCCCTCTATAGTCTCTTCCCTCTATAGTCTCTCCCCCTCTATAGTCTATTCCCTCTATAGTCTCTCTCCACATACTTGAAAATATTATCTAATCTTTTCAAGGAATTTTTAGTTGAATTTTCGTGTATGTGTTCTGATAGTATTACCAGCGGAGGTCCTCCTAATGTATGTCTGTATATCTATCAATACAAGAGATTGTCTGCCCCGGTCAGGAGGCCAGGTGCTTGGGCTAGTTTCTCCCTAAACTCTTCAAAACGATGGTGGTCTGAATGAGTCATATATGATGATCGGGGTCGGTCACAGTGCCTCCCTTTAGGAAATGTCGCCACCGACAATGACCCCCAACCCCCTTTCTCCAACCCCTGCAATTTTGAAAACATCTAAAATCGGATATTTGCTTTCTGTTGAGTTTTTGAGCAGTTTTTAATCTTTTTGTGATGTTACGTTTTCTGAGAGAGAGAGAGAGAGAGAGAGAGAGAGAGAGAGAGAGAGAGAGAGAGAGAGAGAGAGAGAGAGAGAGAGAGAGAGAGAGAGAGAGAGAGAGAGAGAGAGAGAGAGAGAGAGGAGGGGGATGGTTCTTGTAAGTAATTATCAACAGAATGTCTTACATTATTGTTATATGTACTGTTATATCTTTATTAGTTCTCTTGTCACTTGTGATTTTTTTTAGAAATCATTAAATCGTTGTCTTTATTAACAAATACTTAAAAATATATATTTTAACTTTGCTACGTATTAAAGTATACGTGAAGGAGAACATGGGGCAGTAGACCTTAAGAGGAAACTTTAAATCACTGGCGCCTTAAGATCCTAAAACACAATATATTTCCACTTAACACTAATAACTACCTTCCTCCGTTAAAACATTACACATCTCTAATGTTAAGGACCTTAAACCATCGAATATCTTAAAAGACTTTACCGTCCTAAACTTCATTGTCTCCTAAGACAGGTCATCCCCCCTTTGCTCCAGCTGGACGTTGTAGGAGCTTCAGCGGCTCATTAACGCAGACAAACCCTTAAAGACACAATTCTAACCATTTACCGAGGTAGCTAGTAATTGTTTACTGTTGATTAGTGCCCCCTAAAAGGATTCTAGTTGATAACGGAGTTATAATTACATAACATTCCTGTAATCCTTACCAGGTGTTCAGTAACCATATTATTAAGTCAAAATCATTTTTTTTCCAGTTTTCACGGGAGACATCTCCCGTCACGCAGGGTGCAGTCGCACCTCCACAGATCTCCAGTATCAGCTATTGATACTGGTAATGACTCAAAAGGGCCACCACTTACGGGCTATTCATGCCCGTGCCACCTTTTGGGTGGCTTAATCTTCATCAATCATCAATCAATCAACTCCTCGGTGTATTTACCTCGACCTATAACAACATACTTGCTAATTGAACCTTCTCCAGGCCAACCTTTATTCAGTTCTCCATATCCTCAACCATTATTATTCCACCCTGTGTAAGAGTCTATTACTTAGGGTCTTCCGCTCTGTCCGTCACCCTCCACTGCTGCCATAATAGCCAATCACAGACGTGATTTGTTTTTCCATTAGCCTTCCAAACCTTCACGACGTCACTCACTCATCTGTTATGTTATTTTCTGTGTCATTATCGAGCGTAAATGACAAGAATATACACAAGGACGAATAACGGACGCACGAACATAGAGCTAATTACAAAATCAATGAAGGATATCAGTAATAAATGACTATCAATAACAAATTAAATGAGTATCAATAACAAACGGACATCAACAAAAGAGCATCAACCACAAAACAGCATCAACAAAAGAACATCAACAAAAGAACATCAACAAAAGAACATCAACAAAAGAACATCAACAAAAGAACATCAACAAAAGAGCATCAACAAAAGAACATCAACAAAAGAACATCAACAAAAGAGCATCAACAAAAGAACATCAACAAAAGAACATCAACAAAAGAACATCAACAAAAGAACATCAACAAAAGAACATCAACAAAAGAACATCAACAAAAGAACATCAACAAAAGAACATCAACAAAAGAACATCAACCACAAAAGAACATCAACAAAAGAACATCAACAAAAGAACATCAACCACAAAAGAACATCAACAAAAGAACATCAACAAAAGAACATCAACAAAAGAACATCAACCACAAAAGAACATCAACAAAAGAACATCAACAAAAGAACATCAACCAAAGAGCATCAACAACAAAAGCATCAACCACAAAAGCATCAACCACAAAAGCATCAACCACAAAAGCATCAACCAAACAGCATCAACCACAAAAGCATCAACCACAAAAGCATCAACCACAAAAGCATCAACAACAAAAGCATCAACCACAAAAGCATCAACCAAACAGCATCAACCACAAAAGCATCAACCAAACAGCATCAACCACAAAAGCATCAACCAAACAGCATCAACCACAAAAGCATCAACCAAACAGCATCAACCACAAAACAGCATCAACCACAAGAGAACATCAACAAACAGCATCAACAACAAAACATATGGGGGTGAACAAACCCAATATTCCAATACCAGACACAATACCACTAACACTCTCACGAACCACTAAACCAAATTATATTCCTCAACACATAAGCAACTACAAATGTCGTTCCCAAATTATTTCTGCAGTTTATGCTGGCCATTTTCCGCGTCATTTCATCCCAAATGATTTTATCTATAGAAATTGTGAAATATTAAAAGGTCTTGTAAGCGACTATTTTACAAGTTGAAAGAAATTTTGTTTACAAAGAACTCGCTTGTGATTGGTTGGAAAATCCTTGCCTGGTGATTGGCTGGAATCCAGCCTCACAAACTGGATATGGGGGTGAAAGCAGCTTCCTGATTGGTTGACTGGATGTTGATTTCCTATTGGAGGAATGGTTTAAACAACTAGTGTCTTGGCTGTGTATGAAATATTTTATGCAGTAAAGAAACATATATAACTATCCTAATAATATTTGATAAGCCTATTGGTAGTATTTGTTATTATTATTTTCTTTTATTATTATTAAACATTGCATATTCATTTGCATCATATTGCATTTTGTTGCCATGAGTCCGTGTGTAAAGTGACGAGGCTCTGGTGTGCCTGTACGAGGCTAACTTACTGCAGTATTCAATAAATGTATGAATGCAAATCCCTTCACACAAGGGATATCACACACACACACACACACACACACACACACACACACACACACACACACACACACACACACACACACACACAACTTTCGCAAACAGAGTGGTAGACGGTTGGAACAAGTTAGGGGAGAAGGTGGTGGAGGCCAAGACCGTCAGTAGTTTCAAAGCGTCATATGACAAAGAGTACTGGGAAGACGGGACACCACGAGCGTAGCTCTCATCCTGTAACTACACTTAGGTAATTACACACACACACACACACACAAAAGGATTCCCCACTTCTCTGTGTATTTTCACTAAGTTTATTTAGTCTTTTTTTAATTAGTTAATTATCTGGGGAAAGCGCCAAGCCATTACGACTATACAGCATTTGGAATGGGGGGTCAGGATAAGGATTTGGGACGGGACAGGGGGGGGGGAGGGGAAGGAATGGTGTCCAACCACTTGGACGGTCGGGGATTGAATGCCGACCTGCATGAAGCGAGAAGCAAACGTTTGTGCACATAGCAAACGAGATTTAAGTCACAGTGGTAAATCGCAGTGTACAGGATGGAGGAACTCTCACTTTATGAGGCGTTAACAGACTTTTAAGTGCTTCTTCAGGGCTGTTGTCAAGGCACAGCCGCCTAGCTGTGGTGGCGTCTCCTGGCTGTTTTGGTGTCTCCTGGCTGTGGTGGTGTCTCCTGGCTGAGGTGGTGGTGTCTCCCAGCTGTGGTGGTGTCTCCTGGCTGTGGTGGCATCAGCCAGTTACAGCGGTGTCACTCCTGGCGGTAACTTTACCTAGTTGTGCAGATTAGCAATAATTGAAGAGGTGGAAATGGAAGCGGGAGGTCCGGAACGCAATGACGTGAGTGAACACGGGAACGGGGTCAAGCTTCCGGCCAGGAATATAAAATCCCTCTGTTTTTTTTTTCTCTTCGCTAGCTACATTGTTCCTTGTTACTTATTAATGGCTATTGGCAAAGGCAGCACATTTCCAAGGGCGCTGCTTCTCTATGTGAACTACTAGCAGGCATCCGTCAGTCTCAGGAGACTATGGAGTTGCGCTCTGGTTGTCGGTCAGGTTTGAACATAGCACTTCATTTTCGGGAGTGCCTCGACTCCTGGTATAGAGGGGAAAGTGATGAGGTTTGCGTCACTTAACTGTGGTCTCCAAGTCTTCCTGTGGTCGTCGGCGTCTTGCTGCGGTGGTGGAGGAGGAAGACGCTATGGCAATAGTGTCACATAGATAAAGTGGTCACTTAACTTTGGTGGCGATAAGTCACAATAACATGGCAAAAGTAATTTGACCAGACCACACACTAGAAGGTGAAGGGACGATGACGTTTCGGTCTGTCCTGGACTATTCACAATCGACTTGAGAATGGTCCAGGACGGACCGAAACGTCGTCGTCCCTTCACTTTCTAGTGTGTAGTCTGGTCAACTTAACTATGGTGGTGGTGGTGACCTCACCATGGTGGTGGTGGTGACGCCCCGGTGTGGCGGCCTGGGTGTCCGCTAACACGGAGAGCACTATAGGCTACACCATATTTAGGCTGTATTCTCACAGTGGCGTACAGTGCACGCCGCTTACCACCTCACCATTGTACCCACCTACACGCGCCCACGGTCACTCGGTAACACCAAGGTTACGTTGGTCCTTAAACACTTACCACGGGCGTCCAGGATACAATCTGTTTGTGCTTCTCAAAAAATACATTATTACGTGTACTCACCTAATTGTACTCGCCTAATTGTGCTTGCGGGGATTGAGCTCTGGCTCTTTGGTCCCGCCTCTCAACCGTCAATCAACAGGTGTACAGGTTCCTGAGCCTATTGGACTCTATCATATCTACACTTGAAACTGTGTATGGAGTCAGCCTCCACCACATCACTTCCTAATGCATCCCATTTGTCAACCGCTCTGACACTAAAAAAGTGCTTTCTAATATCTCTGTGGCTCATTTGGGCACTCAATTTCCACCTGTGTCCCCTAGTGCGTGTGCCCCCTTGTGTTAAATACCATTTATCTTTATCTACCCTATCAATTCCCTTGAGAATCTTGAATGTGGTGATCATGTCCCCCTAACTCTTCTGTCTTCCAGCGAAGTGAGGTTTAATTCCCGTAGTCTCTCCTCGTAGCTCATACCTCTCAGCTCGGGTACTAGTCTGGTGGCAAACCTTTGACCCTTTTCCAGTTTGATCTTATCCTTGACTAGATATGGACTCCATGCTGGGGCTGCATACTCCAGGATTGGCCTGACATATGTGGTATACAAAGTTCTGAATGATTCCTTACACAAGTTTCTGAATGCCGTTCTTATGTTGGCCAGCCTGGCCAACATAAGTGTGTGTGTGTGTGTGTGTGTGTGTGTGTGTGTGTGTGTGTGTGTGTGTGTGTGTGTGTGTGTGTGTGTGTGTGTGTGTCTGTGTACTCACCTAGTTGAGCTTGCATTGTCAGTATATGTGAATCTAGCCGAGGCAACAAGCATGTATAATAATGACTGCCTGCCATACTCACCACAATCATTTTGAAATGAAGAATCAAGAATTGTAACATACATTTAGACTTCACCTAAAAAAAAATAAATATATTTCTACCTAGGCGTATCTCCTGATGTGTGCGAGCAGTCATGCCTAACACCACCTTCCAGTGATCAACAGGTTTCGCACTACACACACACACGGCCATCACCAGCGACGTGAACACACCTCTGGTACCACGTACCACGTACCTGCGTTAGCCAGAAGAGTCTGTCCACGGAGGATTGTGTGGCCAGGCACACCGGCGCCACTCTAGAGAGCTTCGGGTACTGGGGCCCTGTGAACACGTGGTCGTGGGTCTTGTAGCGTCTCCGGCCGTCCCATCGGCCCATGACTTCGTCCACCACGAAGCCCGCGCCCATCACTACGCCCGCGTCCTGCGCGCCCTCGTCGTTCTCCGCTCCTGCAGCCGAGTCCGTGTTGATGGCCGCCGAGCGGAGGAAGGCCAGGTACTCGGTGTGGTTGGTGGAGGAGAGGGCGGAGGTCCAGGAGTGTGGCACAGCGTCTGGGATCACCACGCCCCCACACCCGCCGCCCACGCCCACCTCCTCACGCCCGTGCATGAGGCGCAGCGTCAGTAGGATGTTGCTGGTGGTGAGGGCAACGATGCTGAACATCCCCACCCCCCACACCTTGCACAGCATCTGAAACATAAAGAGAGTCAACACACAGTAAGTTGTGGTTGTTTAAGATTTGCTACCTGGGACAAAGTTCCAGGTAGCACGGGCTATGGTGAGCCCGTATCTGTACACAGTGGGTCAGGAAGGCTATTCATCAAGGGTCTGGAGTCATCAATCATGTACGCAACCTGTATATATTTAATCATGGCGGCTTTGTTTTCATTTATTAAACAGTTTACGAGCCTGGAAACACCACAACCCAAGTTTACCATTGCTGTAAACAACCTGGCAACGCTTCGCAGCTCAAACTGTAAATGTCCACATGTCCGCCATGATGGCGGAAGATGTAGAGGTTTCGTTAGTGTTTGATGCCCCCTTGTAAAGGGCTATACTGTATGTCTGTTCTCATGCACTTATAACATTCATGTATGACCTTCCTCCGTCTCTCTGTCATACATAAACACACCTCCCATACACCCCCCCCTCCCATACACCCTCCCTCCCATACACCCTCCCTCCCATACACACAGCCGCGTGGGGGCTCACGGCTGAGCGGACAGCGCTCGAAGGTCGTAGTCCTAACGATCCCCACCGGAGGCGGAAACAAATGGGCAGTTTCTTTCACCCTGACGCACCTGTTCACCTAGCAATAAATAGGTACCTGGGATCTAAGACAGCTGCTACGGGCTACTTCCTGGGGATCTGTACTCACCTATTTGTGCTTGCTGGGGTTGAGCTCTGGCTCTTTGGTCCCGCCTCTCAACTGTCAATCAACTGGTGTACAGATTCCTGAGCCTACTGGGCTCTATCATATCTACATTTGAAACTGTGTATGGAGTCAGCCTCCACCTGTGTGTGTGTGTGTGTGTGTGTGTGTGTGTGTGTGTATGTGTGTGTGTGTGTGTGTGTGTGTGTGTGTGTGTGTGTGTGTGTGTGTGTGTGTGTGTGTGTGTTAGAGAGAAATATATATGTAATACATATAATAGCGTAAAAATAGGTTGCTTAGAAAGGTGGGGTCCAAGAGCTAATAGGTTGATTCTGCAGACGCAAATAGCAAACAGTAAATACATCCCCCCCCCTCCTCAAACAACAGAGCCTTCGCTGACACACTTTTCATTAAATATAGAAAGTTCCCATTCCATAATTTCATTAATATACAATACATTTCACCGCTCAAAAATTTACATACCATTTTAATTTATTGAAAGTTTAATATATGCGCTCCACACAAGGCTCTGCGGCACACTATGCAACCTTAATTATACAGATAATACTTTACAATTTATAATACATATATTTGTATATACATACACACACATGTATAAAGAATTATAAAGCTGCCGAGAGGGAGATGTTGTTGTTATAGATTCAGCTACTCGGAGCAAGTTCCAAGTAGCACGGGCTATGGTGAGCCCGTAACTTACCTGGCACAGGCGCGGGGCAAGTAGCACAGGCTATGGTGAGCCCGTAACTTACCTGGCACAGGCGCGGGGCAAGTAGCACGGGCTATGGTGAGCCCGTAACTTACCTGGCACAGGCGCGGGGCAAGTAGCACGGGCTATGGTGAGCCCGTAACTTACCTGGCACAGGCGCGGGGCAAGTAGCACAGGCTATGGTGAGCCCGTAACTTACCTGGCACAGGAGCGGGGCAAGTAGCACGGGCTATGGTGAGCCCGTAACTTACCTGGCACAGGCGCGGGGCAAGTAGCACAGGCTATGGTGAGCCCGTAACTTACCTGGCACAGGTGCGGGGCAAGTAGCACGGGCTATGGTGAGCCCGTAACTTACCTGGCACAGCGCGAGGGAGAGCGGCGGGCTTTATAATGCTCAGGAATACCTGCCAGGGGCGAGCCAGAGGCCGCTAAACCCTGGCAAGGACTGTATAATACAACACATTGTATATAAAGTGTATGATCGTATTCATCTGACTGACGGGAGAGGAAGAGAGGAACCAGAGACAGATAACACACAGGAAATACAAAAAATGTAATAAACATGGAGATAGAACACAAACACGACAGAAAATGTCCTGTTTAATCCACATTTTACAATGGATTTTTTGTTTTTTGTATTAATTATCAAAAACAATTGACCCGAGACAAGCGCGTGGCAGCTACCACACAGCTTTGATCATATTATTAGCCACAGTCAACAGCCCCTGCTTGCTATATGGCGTACACAACTCTCTAATATAGCAGCGTGTGTGCCGTTATATCGGGGGGGGGGATACTGTTGTATAAAACACTGGGTCATATAGCAGTGTTCCGCCATACCTGGGGGCATACTGTTGTATAAAACACTGGGTCATATAGCAGTGTTCCGCCATACCTGGGGGCATACTGTTGTATAAAACACTGGGTCATATAGCAGTGTTCCGCCATACCTGGGGGCATACTGTTGTATAAAACACTGGGTCATATAGCAGTGTTCCGCCATACCTGGGGGCATACTGTTGTATAAAACACTGGGTCATATAGCAGTGTTCCGCCATACCTGGGGGCATACTGTTGTATAAAATACTGGGTCATATAGCAGTGTTCCGCCATACCTGGGGGCATACTGTTGTATAAAACACTGGGTCATATAGCAGTGTTCCGCCATACCTGGGGGCATACTGTTGTATAAAACACTGGGTCATATAGCAGTGTTCCGCCATACCTGGGGGCATACTGTTGTATAAAACACTGGGTCATATAGCAGTGTTCCGCCATACCTGGGGGCATACTGTTGTATAAAACACTGGGTCATATAGCAGTGTTCCGCCATACCTGGGGGCATACTGTTGTATAAAACACTGGGTCATATAGCAGTGTTCCGCCATACCTGGGGGCATACTGTTGTATAAAACACTGGGTCATATAGCAGTGTTCCGCCATACCTGGGGGCATACTGTTGTATAAAACACTGGGTCATATAGCAGTGTTCCGCCATACCTGGGGGAATACTGTTGTATAAAACACTGGGTCATATAGCAGTGTTCCGCCATACCTGGGGGCATACTGTTGTATAAAATACTGGGTCATATAGCAGTGTTCCGCCATACCTGGGGGCATACTGTTGTATAAAACACTGGGTCATATAGCAGTGTTCCGCCATACCTGGGGGCATACTGTTGTATAAAATACTGGGTCATATAGCAGTGTTCCGCCATACCTGGGGGCATACTGTTGTATAAAACACTGGGTCATATAGCAGTGTTCCGCCATACCTGGGGGCATACTGTTGTATAAAACACTGGGTCATATAGCAGTGTTCCGCCATACCTGGGGGCATACTGTTGTATAAAATACTGGGTCATATAGCAGTGTTCCGCCATACCTGGGGGCATACTGTTGTATAAAATACTGGGTCATATAGCAGTGTTCCGCCATACCTGGGGGCATACTGTTGTATAAAATACTGGGTCATATAGCAGTGTTCCGCCATACCTGGGGGCATACTGTTGTATAAAACACTGGGTTAATATATGGTGGAGGACACAACCTTTTTAACAAGACAACCGACCCGTGATTAGCGAGGTGTCCAGAATTTGTGCCTGGCAAGTTAGTGCGTAGGAAGGAAGGCAGGCAGGCAGGGAGGGAGGCAGGCAGGCAGGCAGGGAGGGAGGCAGGCAGGCAGGCAGGGAGGCAGGCAGGCAGGCAGGCAGGCAGGCAAGTAAGCAGGCAGGCAGGCAAGTAAGCAGGCAAGCAGGCAGGCAGGCAGGCAGGCAGGCAGGCAGGGAGGGAGGCAGGCAGGCAGGCAGGCAGGCAGGCAGGCAAGTGAGCAGGCAAGTGAGCAGGCAAGCAGGCAAGTAAGCAGACAGGCAGGCAAGCAAAAAGTTAGACACAATAACTCAGAATGTTATCAAAAGCCTAAGCTAAATGAACTGGTGAAAAAGTCTTCATCAAAGGGTAACCCAGAGCATCAGTAACAGTGTTCAGAGCCAGCAACACAAAGTCACCTCAAATCCTAAAGTATATTTAATATCAAACCACTTTCTACACGCTCTCAAGTGTCCCCTAAATATATAAAACTCTTAACTGCACTACTAGTCCTGACCTTAAACGCTGCCTAGAGGGGACTTCAACAGAAACAAGAACGGAAAATAATTCGAATATTTTCTTAGATCTCACCCTGCCTGGGTTGGGTTTTTATCTATTTAATCAATAGAAAAAACGGCAAGTTTAAACTACAAAATTCGGTACTGGCTTTTCGAATCTTCATCATTATATATCACTTAAATACATATTTACAATCATTTGATAAATGTATTTAACAATTCAAATACTGTACGTTACTTTTTTTCGTTACCATATTAGGCTCAATAATTTATATACGTTCAGTTATACTCGAAACGCACCGCTTTTTGCTTTTTTTAAAGTGTTGGGTTAATATATATATTATATATTTAGCTATGAACACTCCGCGGTATCATATTTCAAATGTACTTTATATAAGTAAATTAATGCATGGCAACAACGCTGGTCGTAACGCTACATTTGGCGCCAAATTCATCAACTGGTAAAAATGACAACGTAGCACAACGATTTGGCGCCAAAAATTCTAATCCCCCCCCCCCCGCAGCAGGGACGGCGGCGTCCATCTGTCAATATCTCCATCAGCAGGGACGGCGAGAGTCTATCCATCAGCAGGGACGGTGGGCGTCCATCCCTCAATATCCCCAGAAGCAGGGACGGCGAGAGTCTATCCATCAGCAGGGACGGCGGCGTCCATCCCTCAATATCCCCAGAAGCAGGGACGGCGAGAGTCTATCCATCAGCAGGGACGGCGGCGTCCATCCCTCAATATCTCCAGAAGCAGGGACGGCGGCGTCCATCCCTCAATATCTCCAGAAGCAGGGACGGTGGGCGTCCACCCATCAGCAGGGACGGTGGGCGTCCACCCATCAGCAGGGACGGTGGGCGTCCATCCATCAGCAGGGACGGTGGGCGTCCACCCAGCAGCAGGGACGGTGGGCATCCATCCATCAGCAGGGACGGTGGGCGTCCACCCATCAGCAGGGACGGTGGGCGTCCACCCATCAGCAG